CCTCAGCCATTTTGGCATGCTTTCTCCTCGTGCCTTGGGGAGTGGGCACGCGCTGTGCTTGCCCAGACCTGAGGGGAAGGCACGTCCTGCTCAGTTCCTTTCCAACCACCACCCAAGCCAGACCTCAATTTATCTTCTCTTCAGTCCTTCACATCCTCATCGTTTCTTATCTTATCTTTCTTGTGTTCGTTGTGTCCTCCTTAAAAAAAGAGTCCCTTTGCTAGTTTCTTGCTAGCATTTTGTGTCTTTTCCTTCTCTCCCATCTCCCTCCACCCCCTTCCCATTTGGAAGCCTCGGGATTTGGCGTATGAGAGGTGCAGATTTTTTCAAAAAGTGTCATTCCTGCAAGGCTAAGCTCCCATCCTCTGAAGGTCACCAACTCTGCCTTTTCTGCCTCGGAGGGTGACACCAAGTACAGTCCTGTTAGCCTTGCACAACGTTCACCAAGCAAGCCCACCACAACTGCCCTTAGACTCCAGAGCCATCTCTTCGAATTGGCCTCAGCACCACTGATGTCCTCCTCAGCTCAGACTGTGTCTTCAGCGCCATCAGATGGTCGAATGGGCATAACATCCCCAGACATTTGAGATTATGCTCATGCCCTTTCGAGTTAATAGAGACTCTCCCCCATATATTATTTCATTGCTCCCACTATTCAGAAGAAAGAGCCCTTTTAATTATGCCTTTATTAAGGTCATTTAGGTTTCAAGGACAATTAGTATTTCAGTCCGAGGAACTTTTGCTGAAACACCTACTGGAGGACAAATCCACGGTTATTTCAAGGAATGTTGCTAAATTTCTTTTTATTGCAACTATAAAGCGCAAGAACTTCCTTAATACTCCTTGAGATGTTTTTTCTCTGTAATGCCTTATGACATTCTGGAGACTGTTTTTGACTGTATGTTGTTTGATGGGTCTTCGACCGTAATAAACTGATTGACTGGCATAACAGAGGCATGTTTGACACCTTTGGTATCAAAGAAGATGACAGACAAATAGTCTAAACATCCTTCTGATTCCTCTGATCGTGGCTATGGCCACAAGAAACCCAGATTGACCCAGGTGCCGACAACCACTTTGATAATGCCTCTGGTCATTTCAGGATTTCGACTTCAACATCGACAGTCCAATCTATGGGTTTGGGCACTTCAGATCCTTCGACATCAACCATAGGATCTCTGTCCCCACTTCTAGCGGAACCTACTCCACCACTAACCACCCTTCCACCAGGCCAGGGTGTTATCCCTATTTTCTCTCAATCCCTATTGGTACATTCCACGCCTCCAGCACAACCTGACACCAAGAGCCGCTGCACTATCAAGCGTCACTGGATTGAAGCACCTCAATCACCTCATGAGGATCCTTGTCCTCGCAGCTCTTGTCATCGGTCTCGATTGTGGAGCTCGGGCCGTTCCAACAGCAGATACTACGACCAACACTCAATATCTCCTTCCTACGCTCTTGTCATCGGTCTCGATTGTGGAGCTTGGGCCATGACCAACACTCAATATCCCTATCGGAGTCAGAACTGATACTCATCGAGTTCCAGGATGCCCCCCCCCTCTACTATGACCACTCCTGGAGTCAGCACAAAGATCTTCAAGACCACTCAGTCTCCAGACATTCTTGTCGCCACTCCTGTTCACTCCCGCCACACCTCCAGGGACAGGCACGGGTGGTGTAAGGGGCAGTCCCATCGATCATCTCATGGTGGATCTCCTCGACACCCCCCCACACCAATTTTGGGCGGGACCATTCTTGACTCCGTCCAGACCACCAGTATACAGATGTGACATCTTACCATCCTCCAGCTCTGCTGTCTACCCAGCCACCTCACTTTGCTTCTCAGGTTCTGACCCTTATTGATGCTACTTCAGCTGTGGTTTCTGCAGAGCTTCGTGGTCCACCGACAACCCTTGACGACAACTTTGCTTGTTTCTCTGACTGTTCTCACCACTCTCCATTGGCGGTCTCAGGCAGACAGCTTGGCCTGGGACATGCCTTTTCAGCATCCACAACCAGAGCTTGTCATATCCATCGACGCCTCGTGGTGGGGATGGGGAGCCCACTGCAATGGTCTTTCAATTCAAGGGCATTGGTCCAAGCATCACCTCCACCTCCACGTCAACTGTCTGGAGCTTTTAGTGGTTCATTTAGCACTCCAATCCTTCCTGCCAGCTGTAAGATCTCATGTAGTTCAGGTGGCTACTGACAATGTGGCCATGATGTGCTATGTGAACAAATAAGGGGACACGGGCTCCTTGACCCTCTGCAGACTTGCTCAAGACCTGTGGAACTGGTGTCTAGCTCAGAACATCATCCTTTCGGCAGTGCATGTCCCAGGAAACCAGAACATACACGCTGATCTACTCAGGAGGCAATCATTGAACAAACATGAGTGGTCTGTCAGTCTACGATATCTGATCCCAGTGTTCACAGCTTTTCGCCAATCGGACATTGATGCCTTTACGACCCTGGACAACAAGAAGTGCAATGTGTTCTTCACTGGGGGTTGATCAGTCCAGGGCTCACAAGGTGATGCCTTTCTCCACAAGTGGACAGGACCCCCTTTTTAAAATCTTACTGCCCCTGCCACTCATCCCCTGGGTTCTGTGGAAGATCATCAATGACAGGACCCACTGCATCCTTCTTACCCCTTGGTGGCCGAGATAGCCCTGGTTTCTGCACCTCCTGCAACTTTCCCGCAGCCACTTTTTTCCTTTACCAATTGTACAAGATCTGCTCTCACAACAACGGGAACGACCTGGCCTTTTTCCGTTTGACAACATGACACATCTGCCTGTAACCTCACACCTTCTGTTGCAGAGAATCCTGCTGTTCTGCTGAAGGCAAGAAAACGGGCTACTTGCCGGACCAAATTGAAGCGATTCTCTTCTTATGCCACTGCCAAGCACCTGGATCCTAGGTCTGCCCCCTTACCTGACGTACTCTCATATTTGGTTTCCCTCCATGAATCAGGCTTGGGGTTTTCTTCCATCAAGGTGCACTTGGCTGCCATCTCTGACTTCCACAAGCCGATCAAAGGGAAAACCCTTTTCTCTCATAACATCTCAAAGACACTCTTAAAGGGCGTGCTACGACTCCACCCACCTGTCAAGCCTATGGTGCTGGATTGGAGTCTCTCCTTGGTTCTCTCACAGTTAATACAGAAGCCTTTTGAGCCTATGGCGTCTTCTTTCTTGGAAAACAGCCTTTCTGGTGGCTATCACATCTGCTCGGCCATCACATGAGATTCCTGCATTCCATGCTGACATGCCTTACATCACCTTCCACAAAGACAAAAGTGGTCCTGAGACCTGATCCTGCCTTTCTTCCTAAGGTGTTGTCTTCATTCCAACTTTCTCAATCCACCATGTTGCCGACTTTCTTCCCTGAACCATCGGATGATGGCCAATGGGTCTTGCATTCTTTAGATGTCCATAGCGCACTCTCATTTTATCCATCTCAGACATGGTCCTCTCGCAAGGACCCACATCTCTTTATAGCCCACAGAAAGCCAAAACAAGGTCTCAAAATTTCCTCTCAGAGACTAGCAAAATGGATTGTATCTACAGTTTCCTTCTGCTATGAACTGGCACAACTATCCCTGTCTACTCACCTGCGGGCCCACTCAACCAGAGCTGTGTCAATGTCCGCAGTGTTCCTGGGTAGTGCATCGCTTGATGACATCTATAATGCAGCGACCTGGTCCTCCCTGTCAACCTTCCATCTCCCATTACCTCCTGGACATATGGGCTTGTTGTGATGCGTCCTTTAGACAGACAGAGCTGCAGTCAATCTTCATAGTCCACTCAGACTTCCAGGTGAGCTTGTAAAACACTGTTCTGTATGTGACTACCTTATTCTCTTTTTGTTGCCAGCACCCTCCATCCTACTAAACTGCAGCTCGTTAGTCACCCAGGTGTGGGACTGCACTGAAGCCACAAAGAAGATAAATAAGTTGCTTACCTGTAACTTCAAGAGGTCTTCTGTGCAGTCACACATGCCCGCCCAGCCTTCCCCACTGCTGGCATCTCTCATTTACTTACCATATCCTGGTGGGACTTGCCAGTGGTGGTGGAAGAAACGGAGTGGGATGTGCCTTCCCCTTAGATCTGGGCATGCGTAGAGTGTGCTTGCTCCCCAAGGCCTGAGGGAAAAGTGTGCCAAAATGGCTGAGGACAGCTCTATACATTCCAGCATCGGGTTTGGCACAAGCGCAGAACTCAGGTGCGTGACTGCACAGAAGACCACTCGAAGGTCATCAGTTACAGGTAAGCAACCTGCTTTTCTTGCACCAAAGAGGCAAACAGCTGCTATGAGCAGTATCTGGGGTGTGAAGTGGTGTGTGTGAAGGTGGGGGGAATCTGTCTCTAGTTGCCCGCTCATTCAGAGGTTCTTAAAGTTCACCCACAGCTTGCTGATCTGGAATTTGAGGTGGGCCCTCCTCCCTTGACATGTCCCTTTTTTGCTCCTGGCAAGGAGTTTGTTTAAGGTTTTTGCTTTTAAAGTCCATTTTCTTGTAGCTGTCACCAACTGTTCATCAGGAAAAGAGCTGGCACAAGCTGGAGAGAGTTCACTTCTTTTTGGATAGTCAGCTGAGGCCGTGTCTGAGTTTCTTCACGACAGCACTTGGCTAAGGAGGTCACACAGCATGGGGGATGTATTGGTCAGGCTTAGGAGAACCTGGGGGGAAACCTTTTTGCAGGGTGACGGCCCGTTCCACTATCTCTTAGAAGAGTCTTCTATGTTTCTGTCAGGGGCCATGGAGAACATTCCTTTTAAGAAATCTCTATTCATTTGCAGATGAAAAGTTGTTTGACCATGTTAGAATTTTTTGCCTTCTGTGCAGTCACACATGCCTTTCCCATTGCTGGCATCTCTCGTTCACTTACCGTGTCCTGGTGGGACTTGCCAGTGGTGGTGGAAAGAACAAAACTTTCCTTTTTTGGTCCAGTATTAATATTTTTGTTCTTGGCTGGAATTCTTTTTTGTTCTAGGGTGAGAAAGGGCCTCAGGGTCCAGCAGGTCGTGATGGTATCCAAGGTCCAGTAGGGCTTCCTGGCCCAGCAGGTCCTGTTGGTCCACCAGGAGAAGATGGAGACAAGGTGAGAGAATCTATGGTTTCAGTGTGTTTTGTATGGGGAGATCCCTGGGGAAAAGTAGCTCCTTTCCTCCACTCGAGCGCTTCCTGAGAAATTCAGTGGAGCCAACCAAGGCTTCTGTCTGGTCTCTATGCCATTACCCTTGTAGAGACAGCAGCGGTCAGAAAAAAGCTTGGCTTGGTTCCCCTCCTCCAGATGAATCAGGGACAAAATTATTCTGAAGCATCAGCCAGTTGAGCTTTACCTAACATAGCTTCCCATTTGATCTCTTGTTCCTTACCCATCTGGATTTTTGGTACTCTCAAGTCAAAGATAGGTGTGTGTTGGAATGTCCCATCAAGAACAGAATGATAACGGGGTAGGCTTGCTTGTGTGGACCAAACTGACGCCAGTCTACACCACAGCCAGGAGGATGGAGGCTGTGTGGTACGGTGCAGATCCAGTATGCATCACACTTGCCCCAAACCCACATGTTCTTATGTGGACCCCTCTTCCCTGGATGAACGAGCAAGGAGGATTTCTGCGCTAGGAGAATGGAAAGAGATGCATCCCTTGAACATTCAGTTCCAATTGAATATCTTATTGATAGTTTTCTCCTAAACCAGAGCCTCCAAACACACCTGGAACTTTTGCTTAAAGAAAAACTCTTCCATAAGATGATGTGTAGATTTCAGCTTTATTTCTTCACACCAAGGAGGCCGGCAGAAACAATCAGTTATAGGTCTGGTGGGATTGTGAATGCAGCTGTTGAACCTCATCTTGCACTCCTTGCTCAGATGCATTCTGGATGTTGCATGAGGAAGTTGTGCCTTGGCCATCATGTGTTTGCAGAGTGGTATTTAACAGCCCTTTCCTGTTTGACAGGGTGAAATTGGTGAACCTGGGCAAAAGGGAAGCAAAGGTGACAAAGGGGAACAGGTAAGGAATGGCTTTTGGGGTAGACAGTCACACGTCTTCTTGGTGTCATGAAAATGCCCTTCCCTTTTTCGTCCACCCTGAGAAGAAGGAGCTTCCCTGTAAGGCATTCTGGGGCAACAGCTGATCTCTCAGTCCTCCCAAGCTGAGCTGGGTGAAAGAGGGCATTTGTACCCCGGAAGAAGACGTCACGATTCCTGGAACTCTGTTGCCCCACAGTGGTTCAGTGGGGAGTGCCTGATTGCAGTAAGGTTTGTTGCTTCTTGCTCCGCTCCAGCAGCCCCACCTGCTGACAAACTGGCTTCTTTCTTAGGGGCTTCCCCACCCACCTCTGGCCAGCTGATGAATGGAGGATGCTGGGGGAATCCTAGGGGTGGATCTCTTGTCATTTTCAGAAAAATGTGATGTGCAGCCAGGATGGAGCTGGGCTTCGCCTTTGGCCATGGCTGAATGTTCAGAGTTTTCCTCCAGTTGGCGCAGCCTGGGTGCCCTTGCGCCCACTCTTTTATTTCATGAGGATGTGTCTGTCTTTTGCCAGGGTCCTCCCGGTCCCACCGGTCCACAGGGCCCAATCGGCCAACCAGGTCCAGCTGTAAGTATGGCTCCTGCTCTTAATCATTAGGTGTCTTCTGAAATCTCCCTTGGAATTATCCATATAGAACAGAGGGAGGGAGGCAGGGCTTAACTTGATCCTGGGCTCAGCCTAGGAATGGGCCAATTAGAATCCTGGAATAGGTGAAAACAATAGGAAAAGTGTCTCTGAGCATGTGTAGTGTGCCTTTCTCTTGCCTCTGAGAAAGCTAATCTGGTTGAAAAAAGAGCAAGTCTGCTGGGAACTTTTTAGAACTTGGGTGGGGTGGAGATGGAAGTTTATGAACATAACAGCATAAGAGAAGCCCATGTTGGATCAGCCCAGTGGCCCATCCAGTCCAACACTCTTCTGTGTCACACAGTGGCCAAAAACACCAGGTGCCCTCAGGAGGTCCCTTGCTTGTTGGTCATCCCACTGAGACATGCTTCTTTTCAAGATGGCAGTCATACTGGGGTTACCGGATTAAAAATTTAAAATGTAAGGTAGAGCCGCCTTCACACTAGGGAGTTGTGGTATGATATGGACAGGCCGAGGGATCCCGTTGGGCAGCAGTCGTCTGACAAAGAAGGGTGACTACATTTCTTTTCTTCCTTCCTAGGGAGCTGATGGGGAGCCTGGTCCTCGGGGACAACAAGGCCTCTTTGGCCAGAAAGGAGATGAAGGACCAAGAGGTTTTCCGGGCCCTCCCGGCCCCGTCGGCTTGCAGGTCACTGTCAAGGGCCGGAGTCTGCCGCAGGGCCCCAATGGGCCACCCGTGCAGTGCTGTGGGAGGGGTGCAGGCCGGGTGCCTGTCCAGAGGAGGCCTCAGGATCAACAGGCCAGAACAGACCCGGTGCCCCTGGCTGGCACCGGCCGCCGTTGCTTTCTGACCTGAGCTGCGAGACGGTTCTGCTCGCGGGGCTTCTTGCTGGCTGCGGACCACCAGGGGCTCTTCAGTCTGCCAGGGGCCGGCAAAGTTGGGAAATGCTCACCTTGAGCTTGTGGTTTTCCAGCAGTTCCAGCAACGGCTGGCTTAGGGGAGAAGTTGCCAGCGTCATCCTGAGCACTGGAAGACACGGATGAGGAGGGCGCTGCTGGTGCCCATTGTTACATTGGCTTTTTAAAATTTAAGCGAGATTTTATTGTTGAATATTATTCTTCTCAAAGCACAACAGGCGCTATTTTTCCCTCCTAAAGAGAAAAGAGACTCAAACGAGTGGGGCAGAGAGAGTCTGTGCCAGGCAAGGCTGCATATTGCCGAGCAAGGCGGTGCCAGCGGCTGGCTTCCCTGTGCTGGGGGAGGGGGGAGGACATTACCCCAAAACAAGGCAGAAAAGTGTTATTCTTGTGAATGTGAAAATGCCAGGCACATTTTCATGGTATCCTTGTCTGGGGAGACTAAGTTCAAGTTAGCCTTTATTGGCATAAATGGGAAACTAAGTTAATAGGATCATATATATACATACACACACACACACACACACACACATACACACACATTACAGCAGATGCCCAAACTTTGATATTCTGAGCCAGCTGATGCACACAGAATTATATAATGTGGAAATGTTGATGATTCCAGATGAATTTGTGAATGTCCAGAAACTCAGAGCCACACTGGTGAATTCTGGCCGTCACCATGATGTGACTGTCAGTTTTCACTCACACATGCTTGGAAAGGAAAGGAATGTATACATGTTTGGGGGTGTTTACAAAATGGCCAGCATCTAGCACATTTCACCACGTGTTTGGCTTCTGCACTACACTATGCTGTGCTTCGTGGGTTCACTGCCTCCCCTTCTCCAGGCCCCAACAGAGGCTTAATTCCTAGTTTGCCCCAGAATAGCCTGTGCCTGTTGATTAGTGTCAGGGCAGCAGCTCGAAGTTTTCCATCTCAGCTCCCAGCAGGTGTGAGGAGAATATGCCAGTGAATGTGAAGCAGCAGGGACCCCCGTTTTTCTGCAGCTCACATTACTCAGTAACAGTCCTGGGTTTGTCTGCATCAGAGGGCCTTGGCCAGTCCCGGGTCTCGCTGAATGAGTGGGTATGACATTGGCAGACCTAGGTTTCACCCAGCTGCTAGTCATACTTGGCATTGTAAAGTATGTACATATATATATATATTTAAAAACAAACAAACAAACAACCTTTATTGGCATCACAACCGAATTGTAACGGGAGGTAAAGTATATTCTTGCAACAATGTTAAGGGTGCATCTTTAAAAAGTAATAATGTGCAAATGAGCCATAAATAAAAGCCCATCTAATTCTGTCTCTGCAGGGTTTACCAGGACCTCCCGGAGAGAAGGGAGAAACGGGTGACGTTGGCCAAATGGTACGTTCTGCTGTTGCTGTTTTTTAAAGCCCCGTTTCCCCTCATGTATCGGTATCACTAAGTACTTCCGCCTGGTGGAAGAGGCTCCCACCTGAGATCAGGGCCCCGCAGGACCCCCCTATGATAGTTCTGCAGGGCCTGTGAAACAGAGCTGGCCTTTGGGTGAGGCAGCGGCCGTTCATCGGCTCCATCTACTTGGCCTCCCTTTCTGAAGCTCTCTGTCCGACACGACCCATCTGAGAAGATTTCGTAGCCTGGTTTACGGCCAAGCTGCTCCAGTTTTTTGAGAACACCATATTTGTAATTTACCGTGCCATCTCCTCTCAACTTATAGTTTCTTGGTTTTTGTTTTTACCTGTTTATTTATTTGTTATACCTGTTTGAATTGTTATCACGGAATTGCTGCTGTAATCTGCCCTGAGCCCGCTTACCGGGAGGGCGGAATATATGTTGAAGAAATAAATAAATAATCAAAATAATTCTTCTTCCCCTTCTCCCCAAAAGGGTCCCCCGGGTCCGCCAGGGCCAAGGGGTCCGTCTGGTTCTCCAGGAGCCGATGGGCCACAAGGTCCACCTGGTGGGATTGGGAACCCTGGAGCCGTCGGTGAGAAGGTGAGGTGCCTGTGGCAGAAATGGACCCCTTTTGCTGTGACAGGTGGGGTGGGGGTCAGCGGAGGGCAGGAAAGACGTGCTTTAATTCCTTTGAGTGGGAGGTGGGTCTGGGTGGTCCCGCAAGACGGATCTGGGGGAGAGGCCTCTAACGGCAAGCCTTGGGCAAGGCCGGATTCAGAACTGTGAGGGCCGTGGGCAGGGGTCATTTCGTAGAAAAAGAGCTAGGGGAACTCATTATCATAACTCATTAGCATATGCCACACCCCCTGACATCACCGGAAGTGTGTCATAAGGCCACACCCCCTGACATCACCGGAAGTGTGTCATAAGGCCA